TACAAAAAAAGCAGATACAATACCGAACCCTGTTTGTACGAAACCTTAAAAAGGTATATAGATGGTGACAAATGTTTAAACCCTTTTTAGGTTCGGTAGAGTACCTTTTTTTTTTAGAGAGTAGGCCCATTTTGTTAGGCTCCGGCTAACTTGTTCGAATCTTCACTTCTATGTACAAATGGTTTATTCGAAAGCACCTCCTCTAGCGTGTACGAACAAATAGTATATATAGATGAAGAAAGAATGCTGACTCAACAAGAACTGAGTCAGCATTCCTTGTAGTCATGAGACATGAAAACAAAAGCAGAAAGAGGAAGGAATGTCAGTGACGGCAGTGACCACTGGCATAACACATTTTAAGTTTGACAGACTCATTACAGGTTCAACTAGAAGAGAGTCGGTCAAAGTTGAATAAACCGCAAAAAATGAAGTAAAATTTAATGAAAATTTACTCATATCGGTAAAGAATGATGGTGATTTTAACTGCCATGAAACCAAGATCTTGAAAAGGTTTTCAAAGGGTGTATAGGGGACTTGTAGGAGTTTTCTAGAAACCATGTTAAAGATCTTGAATTCCTGTCTGTCGAAACTACCATCATGCTGTACGTATATGAGTCAATTTTCATTAAATTTTAATTTCTTTTTCTGATTTTTATTCAACTCTGATCGATTCTCGTTGAACCTGTACAAGAAAATCAAAAGCACTAGTCCTTGCAATCAGGTATATACCCAGCAAAGCTACCCAGACCGTCTAAAAATTTATAGTATAGTCTACTCGACTCAGTTTTTTACGTTGAACCTGAATATGATCTTTTATTTAGACTTCGGTTAACAAGTGACACGTAAAATAATGAAAACTGAACAAGAAAAAGGTAAAACGACCTTAAAATTGGACTTCAGATTTTAATCCAGGATCATTTTGGGTATGATGCCCCAGCAGGAGAACTTTCAAATAGTAAATTTTGTAGCTCTACCTTGTGTGCAATTTCTGGTAAACGTCGACCCTGGGTCACCTATCCTGTGGCACACACGACTCAAAATACTGAAGGACATCGAAGGCGAAAAGCCGTAGAATTTGATAAAAAGTCGAATTTTTCTCCGCTAGTAAGGAGCGGATGGAGGGGTTGGCTATAGAAGCTTGTAGCCCGCGGCGAGATCTACAAAAGTGTACCGACAGAATTCCAATACTTGGCGTTACGGGTAACAGAGAATACCTCAAATAATAATTGGATAGAATTATAAGCGAATAATGAAGATGTCCGATAGACGTCGCCATGTACTGAGTATCACGTATAGATGGCGCCTTACAGCCGATTACATTTATTCCTGATGGGATTCGTATTGATTGTGGCGCCATCTAAATGTGCCATCCAGAACATAGCAGCATCTATCGGGCTTATAACTCCATCCAATTATTATTTGAGGTATGCTCTGCATCCCGTTACCGGTAATGACAAGTAACGAGTAACAGATTTTCATTATCCGTTTCCGGTAACAGGTAACGGATTTTCGGTCCCGTTTTTGAAAGATTATTCCCGAATTGCTTCAAAATCTCGTGGAAGACGATCGGTGGAAAGGCGTGAAGGAGGTGGTATCTGATATTCATCAGGCAGGCAAGGGTGGACAAGAGTTTATTGTCTGGAGTGGCATCATCATTAAACAGGATACCATAATATCTGGAGACTGTATTTGAAAGTTTTTTTTTTGAATTTGTGTTGAACGTTTAAGTTCCATGAATTTTGCACAGTGATTTTCATCGGAAGAAAATATCGTTGATGTAATAGTTTTATTTGAATCTGATCTTCCTCATTACATATACGTTAAAATTGGCATCGGATGAAATTGAACATTGCAGAACTTTCTTGAATCTGCATAGCACAAAATGCTTATCCTATTGAGTGACACAGGAGAAAAACAATCATCGAATAATTGAAATCAAGTCTTTATCATTTCACCAGATCTCTATTGAACACAAAAAACATCGATGACATGAAAACGAATTTGTACAGGTACAACAAACGATGGATTGAATTTCATGGCCAGATTATAAACGTGGAGTAGATTTGAACCAGATGAAGCAAAAAAGGCTATAACGGAAATGCATGGTATGACTGTTGGTTCTAAGGGTTTATATGTGAGTTTCGCAGAACGAAAAGAAGATCGCCGTGCACGGTGGGCAATTTTGGCTAAGCATTTGGACATGAGCTTTAGAAGTGGTGTAAACGTGTCTAAACACTTTTCTATAGGTTTTCAACGATGCTCCAGTGGAATGGTTTTTAAGTTTTGAAACCGCTTTCTAGGTGGTTTCCCAGAGATCCGGTCTCCAGAAAAACATTTAGAAAATCTTTTCAAAACTCAGAAATCACACCATTGGAAACAACATCATCAAAAAACAGAATGTTTCTAGTAAAAGACGCTAAAAAATTCCACCCGTATTTTAGAAGCCACACAAAAAGAACGATTCTCAAAAGACAAAGTGGAAGCCTATGCCTTTTTGTTCCGGTGATGGAGCGATTTAAGTAGTCTGCGAAGTGCGTTTTCATTTTGATTTGTCTTTGATATCCGATTACACTCAAGTTATTACAGTTCTTTGTTCTCGAATAAATTCTTCATCTGTTTCGTCGCAGCCATCAAAGAGTAAAATATGTACAGATGTATCGAAAAAAAATTCTTCTTGCTGATGGAAAACCTTGGGCACGCTAAGGAGAGTATTTTGTTGATATCCTTTTATCCGCGGTGTTCATGAGTCGAAAATTTGACGCATATAAGGAGTCCTGATCTCTGCCATCGACGAGTACTCAATGAGAAAATCCTCCAGTCTGACGATTCTTTTTGCTTCGAAGAATAGAGCCATCGATAAACTTTCTCCCTTCCAATAGTTTTCTTTTTTCAGATGTTTACCGACTCTTAAATTTTCTTTCGAAAACAACAGTTTTTCTACATTTTTGTCATTTTCAGACCAAATTCATGCGGGTTCAAAACAAATATTTTTATCAAGAAACAAGTTTTCCAAAAATAATACGCAAAACCGCTGCCTACCCATAGATTTTCGAAATATAAATAGCTTGTGTTAAAAATAAGTTTTCACTAAGTTTTTAAAATTTTTAATTAAACGATATATTGACACGAGAGACAGCGCAGTGGATAATGTAGATTGCATTTCATTAGGGTTCGCATAGGTCATTCTGATGCTCCTGCACAACCTTATGCCATACTTAAGCGACTAAAAATCACGGTGTCTTTTGACTCCCATCCTTGTGAACAGTTTGGACTATCTGTCCGAGCAAAACAACAGACGTATTGCTAAATTTTATAAGTCTAAATGGTTTTTCGAAAAATCCGCTGGAAATTCTATTTTTCACCAAGGTTTTCAAGCTTATTCTTTCTTAACAAGATGAATCTTTAAAATTTGATAAAATTCGGAATTTGGGTCCATAGTACGTCGTCTACTGCAATAGAATGACAAGTCTCGGTTACTAGATTATATACACTAAAGACTATAGGTTATTTATTGTTTATTTAGTTTGAAAGTGCTGTTTTTGTGTTTTCATTTTATCGATTATTGAATATATCGAAGACAAACAGTTCTCTTGTAAAAACACATAAGTTGGAAAAAAGCCTTCTATTTTCCGATGCGATGACGACGATACTTGGATGGCATAATACATACAGACACATCAGGTTTACATGGCCATGTTGAAACAGCTACCATTTTTTCTACTTCTTTACTAGCCACAGAAGAAGCATGTTGCACAATAGCAGATGTATTTTTAACGAGTAGTCCAATTTCGTTGATTAATGATACATCACCATTTCGACTCAAAACATCTACAACAATATTATTTGCAGCTTGTTCGGCGAACTAGGAATAGGAAAGTATGATGATTATTCTTATGAAATAGCATCTGCTTGCTGAACCTGAGTATTTCCAGTATTTGTTACATCTAGTATGCAGGCTTGACGTATAATGTCCATGTACACAGACGTCGAAACAACTGCTTCTGATAGTTGATTTGTTGTTTCTTTTATAAATGTATCACATACGCTTTGTGCCATCGCACTTGCTACTATTTCTGTATCACTGATACTTGGTGTAATACTGAGTTGAGACTGAACTCGAGTTTTTGATTTGCATCCACTCACACACATACCACTCCCAGTATTAATATGTTTTAATGTTGCAAATAATGTAAATGTATAATACACTTCAGTTGAGAGCTACAACACAACACAATAAAGTTATTTAGAGGAAAATAAATAACATGTTCGGTTTACACATACTGTTTTCTGTATCCAAACACTGAAGTGAACTTTTTCATATTGAATATTGATGTTGCTTTCATCAACTTTATCTATTACAATATCTGTGATAATTTAAAAAATGAAGAAAAATTTGACTTAAATTTTTTTGCCACTTATCTGCGGCCTCTGATGCATATACATCTTATTATTTACTTGACTCGACTTACCAGAAGCGCATGAAGGAGCATGCATAAAATCATTTGGACCAAGTGAACAAATTGGTATTTGTTGAGCGTTGAAAAGTATTACATTGAACTATTAAGTAAGGTATGTTTTATTAAACTTGATTCAGAAGTTTATTTTAAAAGACGAAGTCTGAGTTTACCCACATCAATGATGTTATCAGCATTTACAAGGGAATTTCGAACACTGACTATAATATCATTTGTCTTGTAAAGTAATGTATAACCATTAATATCACATTGCGTGCTATTGCTTACATCATTCGCATTTTTTGGAAATTTAATAAGATGAGACTGTCCGTAAAAATTACATCTGTAAAGTAATTCTCGTGGTATGGCTGAATTTGAAAAAACATACATTCAACACAGAAGAGAACAGTCTATGATTGTTTTAGCTTTTTCTTAAAAAGAGCTATTCTCTTTGAAAGATAACCTGTTGTTGTTGTGCTTGTGGGTGCGGTGGAGACCATAGTACTTGTAGGACCATTTGCTAAATTTTAATAAGCAAAATATGCACCCTCATGTATTCTAAGAAGGAAAAAGTGATTGTTAATCCGGTTAGAACTAGGTACTTTCGCTGACTTTAAATAGCTGTTTTATTACGGTTAGTTCTTTGTTGATCTACACCGTAACAAAACATCTGCAAGGGGGCGTCGGGAAAATCGACAAACGCGGTCTCTCCGCAATCTTCTTCTACTACGTTTTTGCTATAATATTTTCTCGTTAACAAATTCAAGGCACAACTATTAGAAACTTAAACAGCGATGACACAAAACTAAGAACGAAAGCGAAATTCTTTCTCTTTCCAGCGATGGTCAAAATATCATCATATGAAAGAACACTTATATACAGTTTACCATTCCGCGATAACATGCTTTAAAGCACGATATATCATTCTATCCAGTTGTGTACATCCATGTGTTTATATCAAGGGGGAAAAAGCGGACTCCTGGACTCCTCTGGACTCCTGAAGTCCAAGAGTCCAAGAACAAAAGTGATCTTTTTTGGGAATAAAAGGAGACACTTTCGTTCTGTTATGGGAATCACTTTCCAAAAGGGACCACTTTTGTTCTGTTGCGGGAATCGTTCCCATAACCAGAACACGTTTGTTCTGTTTTTTTGGGACGAACCTATAGTAGTCACCTCCCTTGGACTCCTGTGGACTCCGTGGACTGTGTGGACTCCAGGAGTCCGCTTTTTCCCCCTTGGTTTAAATGCATAAAATATTACGATTTTATTCACGAATAGCCTTGCCACATTTTCTTTGTAATATTAACATACGTCAAATTCATGATATTCCTATAGTATGTAGCATATTAATGCCACAAGGCATACTATTTAAATTGCAATTTCAAGCTTGTTAAATTCTGCACTTTTTATATAATAACCATTCTGCATCTGATTTTGTTTACAGCACTACACTTCACTAACTATTCTACAATAGGTCAAAATCACTCTATCTGTTCACTATTTTAATCATAAGTCTGACACACTTAGGATTCGAAACAACCTGTTACAGCTTTTCAATTCTACATTTCTAATATCTTTCTGTTTCTAATTTCTATCTGTGGAAGAAACTATAATCATTTTTGTCTGTCACTACGACTAAAATCGGTCGTCTTGTCAAGTATTTGAGCAATACATCTATGAAGACAAACTTTCGAAACAATGTGTTATAGCTCATTGTATACTCCTTTCAATTCTACATCTTTCTATGTATAAATCATTCTAGGTCTGAGTATGCTGTCAGAAGTAGAATCAGTTTTTGTCGGCAATTATGGGTAAAATCGAGGCTTCTGTCAACTATTTGCCCAATACATCTATGAAGACATTTTGAAAAGGTGTGCTATATATCATTTTAAAGCCCGTTTAATTACGCATGTTTTCGTACGTAAGATTGTATTAAGAACGCCGAGCTTTCCGAGAAAACTGAATAAATACGGCGAAGAGACTTTTTGGACCGTTGCTCAGAAATGATTAAAAACTTCAGCATATGGTAGTCTACAAAGAACATTCAAGGCGCAGAAAAATTACAAATAAAATAAGGAACGGTTTCTGGTCAGTTCCAGTCGTTATCTTCTCCAAAATATATAGGGCGGTTTTCTTGTGGAAACCGTCCGTTGTCCATTGAACAAATATACCGCTTTGTAGACACTTGTTTGTTCTACAAGATTTTATAGGTTGTCAAGTTCGAAACTATTCTAATTAATCTATATTAATCAAAGAAAAACCAGAAAAACCGTGACACTTTTAACTGTTTTTCGTCACAGCGCCACGGTTTTTCTGGGTTTCGTCTGTTTAATACAGATTAGTTAGAATAGTTTCGAACTTGACAAGCTAGCACATCTTGTAGAACAAAGAATTTTCTAGAAAGCAGTATACTTGTTCAATTTTTGCCAGCTCGTCTTCGCTCTTTTAGACGTACTTTTTAGATAGCCACAAAATCGATTTTGGGGGCTCTTTGTACAACAACTGTATCTTCATAATGAATCAACACTCAAAGTCGGGACACTTTTCATCTTGTAGAGAAACGTTTAATCTACTTAATTATCTATTTGCTATTTTAAATAAGTCTGCAGCTTTATTGCAATAAGTTTTTGAAAAAGAGCAAAAAACAGAGGCTGTTAGCTCGACAAGCCGTAGTGTACCAACTATTCTTTCTAACTCGTTCCTTTTTCTACATGCTAATCAGAACCATTTTTCTTAAAGGTAACATAGCATTACTTTGGCGTTTTACTTACTTGTACGTCCAATAGCATATTTGATGTCGTAACAAGCATGCATCTGTCCAGACCAGATTTTTATGTTAACATCGACATCACCCTGTGAAAACAAACAATAATTCACATCGATATAAAATCCCATTCTGAAAGATTAATTAAAAACATATGATGAAGCGCATGTGATTATCGTTGAAAGTTTTGGGCCATGAAGTAAGGAGAGACAACATCTGCTATATGAAACACGATGTATGGTCCAAACTAGATTCAATCGAATTCTGATTTTATTAAAATCCAACAGATAGAAATGAGAGAATCTATGAGAAAGCGTCGGGATATTCTTAGATTATTCTGTTAAAATTTTGTAAGAAGTTTTAAAGTTTGAACATCTTTTAGTTAAACATGACGCTGTTAGTATTTATCAAACTCGATAGATTTTCACTGTTTAACTTCGCTTACAGGTGATGTAAGTGCCATTAGAAATGTTCCAGTCAAATCCGGAAGTACAAAATCTGTGGTAATATCTATAAAAGAGAGAATGTGAAATTACTTTAACAAATATATTATAGTATTGTCCATACTGTCCAAGTTTCAGTATCAAATCTGTTGCTATATTGTATTCAGTCAGAGTAGAAATAGCGTCTTCATAGAAGACAGACGTTCTGGCTCGCATAACACGTATCATATACAAAAGTGTCGTCTTTTTCATCTTACCGAAATCTTTTGTCTGCAATCTTAAAGGACAATTACAGTCAATACCATATGGCATAAGTTCTGGTGGGCAGGCACCTGGCTCAATATACGTAATTCTTTTTATGAACGCGCAAAAATCAGGATATGTACTAAAAACGTAAGTTCATAACACCTGCATGACAAGAAGAAAAATAACAAATACCTACCATGAACCAACATCATTACCGTCAACCTTGTAGCATTTGACTGGTAGTCTTATACCGCTAATAATTTTAACAATATCTAGGCTCACTTTTACCACACCAACAATGTACTCGTCCACAGAGACACTTATCGACAATGTGTTAGTATCAGATGCTCTCATTGGCATTGGTGTTATTACGAAATGACTGATATTCCACCCTTTTGAACCTCGATGATAAACGGAAGAGTTTAAATCATTGGATATTTATTTAATTAATCCCCGAAACTTACCACAATCTTTATACGTTAACTGATATCGTGTTTGTGCAGATGCATAAGTGAAAATACCGATCAAAAAACACCACACAATATTCGTACACATTTTTTGCTTTTATGAACTTAAAATTTATAAGCCAACCTATCTTTATTTTAATAGCAGTCTGACGTTTCGTATGCAATACTTATAGTTTTCTTTTAACCAGATGTGTTTTTATCTCATGGTAACATTCTGAAAAATTTCGACTTATCACCTGGTGTATATTCTAATAAGTAAGATATATCTGACGTTAAATTAGACAACAGAAAAATGTGGGTTATTCTTGCCGTAGAATTAACGAAAACGTTTTTCTCCAATTATTCGAAAAACTGTGTCAACACATATCGATATTTGGTTGCTTACTATGACATGGACATTAAAAAGATAACGTAAAAAAGGATAGACCAGTCTTATTGTATCGAAAGAAAATAGTGTGGTGAGGGAAGAAGATTTTTGAACGTGAGCTTTTTACTTGAAGCTCGAAATTTAAAACGAACGATAGATTTAACCATATTCAGCGATTCTTTGGGTGAATTTTGTACTTTGGAGATGCAAATTAACACACTACTATATGCAAAGTCTGCAAGTCTACGGTGTAAAGCTTCGCCACTAGCAGGGTATTAACAGCAGAGATTTTTAATAATCATAAACTCTCAAACTATGGTGGTGCAAAGGCACGAACTGAATTGAATAATGTTGGAGTTAGTACTTATCAAAGGGGACACGAACAAGTCTCTGGCGTTTCGCCAGTTGGCGAAGGCGTACAAATTCTTGACGAAACGTCAAAAGGAATTTTACGAATTTCATACGATTTTGATCCTCTATTAAAAAAACCGCTGGGGAGGGGTAAGCGGTGAGCTATACTCCCTCGCTTATGTGTCATGACACTTCATCTACATTACATAACGATCATGTTGTTGTTGCTTTTCGCTTTTCCTCTTTTCATCACATACCTGTACTATATGGGCAAAACCAGCCAAAATGGGACACGACTGTCTTTTATTTGTCTATGATTCTTTAGAAGGGTTCTTTTTCTGAGAATGTTCTGTCATCATTAATATATGTAAAAATGTTTGCTGTTTAAGCTCACCCTAAATTAAAATTTATTAGCTAATTAGGTACCTCAGGTACGTCCGAGTTTCCTCGAAGTTCTACGGAGAGAGAGCTCACGTTCTTCTGGTAGACAAAAAGGTTGTGGTCACAAAAAGCACCATCGTTTGATGATGTGAATTGTAATGCATCAACCTGACGGGTACGTTGTTTGGGATGTCAGCTGGGTAGTAAGGTCTTGCATGATTTGGGGATCGGTGGTCGTTATAGGTTAGGGGATGTGGTCTTATCTAGGACTTTTGGTTGAGCGTGTCGTTCTAGTCGGAAGTCTTTTCCATTCTTGTCGGCTTCAACTGCCGCTTGTTTTATGTTGTGCCTGGCTAATGGACACGTGTAGTACTCCTAGAGACTTCGCCTATTAAAGAAGGAAACGGCTTGCTGATCGTCTTGTTTTCGCTAGCTGCATGTCTCATAACTGACAGAGGATCAATGAAGCAGGGTTGTTAAGACTGTGTTTCGAATTCATACCCGCCAGTACCACGAACGAAGTAGTTGTCCAAACCTTGAGGCGGTATCACGGGCTTGCATCCCACTGATACTGTATACCTGCTCGCAAGCAACAAACAAAATAGAAATTTGCACCGGGTAAATAACGCCGATGCATCGCGAGGAGGTGCTGCTAACACAGTCGGTTGGGTAACATCCGATAATCAGACTGTTGGAGACACATACACCATCTTCTATCCAAGATTCGCTCATGCGGTAGATTGTGTATTTTGTGTCAAATCTCTATTTACCAACAGGGAGGTTGTAATGCATATGGAAACCTGCCATAACATCTGAGAGTTCAAGTACGTATGCATGAACTGTTTGAGAGAGTGGGATGGGATCCGTTCAGTGGCCACACACTATTCAAGATGTACAGGAAAGCCTGTGCCGCTTACTCAGCCTACCGCTGACATCCATCAGGCAGCGGATACGGGCTCCAGTGTTGAGTTCGGAAATCATGGGTTGGCTGCGGACTTTTGTGTCCAATTCGGTAATTCCGAAGTGGGTGTTGGGTCCGTCATCCAGTCCAAGGATGTCGAGCGCAAACCTGGATCCTCGTCGGTCGTTCGACAGTCGGTTCAATTCGACGTTGAACATCATTCAGATGGTGGAAGTGGTAACGTTGAGAAGGTTATGGATGAGAACGCGTTGAGGTGTGAACTATGCCACCGAGTGTTTTCATCGAGAAGAGGCAGATCCAACCATATGAGGCAAGCTCACACCAGAGAGTACAATGAAACCATCGAAGTAGCGTCCACTCAGCCAAAATGGTCGGAAGACGAAGCACGGTTGCTCGCGGAGAAAGAAGCTGCGCTGCCCGCGAACACAAAATTTATAAACAAAACTTTGGCTGCAGGATCTTCACGATCTATTCAAGCCATAAGTTCGAAGCGTGCTACGGTGCATTACAATGCGCTTCTCGCAGAAGTTAGGAGGGAAATAGCAGGTGAAGCGCAGATTGCGAGAGCGCTGGGATCGGCTTCGAATGGCCAAGAGTCGTCAGAGCTGTTACACAGCAGTAATTTGGCAGCAGAAATGCCGACTCGTTACTCCTGGACTTCGAACCGTGAAAGTAATGCTAGTGATGTAGACCAGGCTAAGTGTCCTGACATCAAACAATATGTAAAGGACAACATCTTAGGTGTCGGGGAACACATCGTTAACATCAGCGATGGGATGTTGGATGCGTTGGTGGAGTTTGCGGACTATGACATGGAAGGAAAGAACCCTGTGCAACAATCGCTAGAAGCATTAATGCTTACTATAGGAAATGTTCCATGCTCTCAACAACAGGGAGCTGCTTTGAGGAATACTGATGCAAGAGAGTTCATACCGCGAATTCGGCGAAAAAGGCAAAGGTATGCACATTATCAGTATCTCTACAAGCATGATCGACCTAATTTAGCCGCCGAGCTGTTCGATGGGGTGAATAGTACAGCCGAATGTCCAACCATCGGAGTTGCCTATAAACATTTCAAAAACGTATGGTCCGGGGTAACGCGGGATAACGGTGCATTTGTCCGTGGAAAAGAAGTAGGGGCTGATATTCTTTTAGCGCCTATCACACTAGAAGATATCACGTGGGCCTTGAAAAATACACCGAAGGATACGGCAAAAGGACCAGACCAGTTACCATTATGGAAGTTGAAGAAGATCAAAACGCACGAGTTATGGGCAGCAATGAATGTTTGGCTCGGCTTGAGACGGGTTCCGGCCAGTCTTAAGCTGAACCGAACAAAGTTATTACCGAAAGGAACGGCACAGTTAGATAACATCAAGAACTGGCGTCCAATAACAATTGCTTCCATCTTAATTTGTCTCTTCAACAAAATCCTGGCCAATAGAATGTCCAAAGTTTTTCAAACAGATGCTCGGCAAAGGGGTTTTAAACCACTGAATGGGGCTGGACAAAACATAGCGATGTTGCATCATCTTATACGACATGCACGCACACATAAACGCGATCTATATGTGTGCCTGCTGGATGTCTCGAAGGCATTCGATTCTGTGCCGCATGACTCAGTGATTAGAGCGTTGATGCGCAAAGGAGCTCCGGACGAATTTATTAAATTAGTGAAGAATCAGTATATGGGAGCATTTACCAGTCTATCGTATGCTGATAAGAGTTCGTTGTTGACCAAGCTGAAGAGGGGAGTGAAACAAGGTGACCCCTCTTCCATCTTATTCAACCTAGTGCTCGATGAACTTTTCGAGTTACTAGGCGATCGCCTTGGATACAATATCGAGGAAGGGGGGCGTGCGAATGCCATGGCATTTGCAGATGATTTGGCATTGGCGTCTGGCTCTAAAATCGGGCTACAGAGTGTACTGAATACAACAGTCGACTTTCAGCGAGAGGGCTAGAACTCAACGTCAAAAAAATGTGTGTCGATAGTCTTGCTCAAGGGATACAAAGGAAAGAAATCGAAAGTGGCTATACAGCTAATGTTTGAGGTGAGAGGAGAAAGTATCTCGATGCTAGGCTATTCCGACACCGTTAAATAGCTCGGTATTCAATTTACATCATTAGGTGCGGTGGACAGTAAAGTTACAGTGGATGCTATAAAAGCAGCACTGAAAGCGTTAAAAGTATCTGTTCTTAAACCACATCAAAAACCGTATATGCTTCGGTTCCATCTGGTACCACGGTTTGTATATCCACTCGTACATTCGCAGTGCTATTCGAAGTTGCTACATAAGATTGATACAGTTATTAGAGGATACGTCAAACGCATTGTCCATCTACCCACTTCCGTCTGCAACGAATTCTTGTACTTGCCTAGTCGAGAAGGAGGCTTGCAAATTCCGAAATTATTTGAGGTCGTCGGGTTCGTTCAGCGATTCTTTGGGTGAATTTGTACTTTGGAGATGCAAATTAACACACTACTATATGCAAAGTCTGCAAGTCTACGGTGTAAAGCTTCGCCACTAGCAGGGTATTAACAGCAGAGATTTTTAATAATCATAAACTCTCAAACTATGGTGGTGCAAAGGCACGAACTGAATTGAATAATGTTGGAGTTAGTACTTATCAAAGGGGACACGAACAAGTCTCTGGCGTTTCGCCAGTTGGCGAAGGCGTACAAATTCTTGACGAAACGTCAAAAGGAATTTTACGAATTTCATACGATTTTGATCCTCTATTAAAAAAACCGCTGGGGAGGGGTAAGCGGTGAGCTATACTCCCTCGCTTATGTGTCATGACACTTCATCTACATTACATAACGATCATGTTGTTGTTGCTTTTCGCTTTTCCTCTTTTCATCACATACCTGTACTATATGGGCAAAACCAGCCAAAATGGGACACGACTGTCTTTTATTTGTCTATGATTCTTTAGAAGGGTTCTTTTTCTGAGAATGTTCTGTCATCATTAATATATGTAAAAATGTTTGCTGTTTAAGCTCACCCTAAATTAAAATTTATTAGCTAATTAGGTACCTCAGGTACGTCCGAGTTTCCTCGAAGTTCTACGGAGAGAGAGCTCACGTTCTTCTGGTAGACAAAAGGTTGTGATACAAACGGTAGTGACTGAAATACAAATGAAGAACCTATTTCAAAAATCACGTTCATTGTAAAAATTAAAAAATTTATTTCTCCGAACTTGCGGAGGCATGTGTGAGTACGGTAAAATCGGACAAATGTGTGGGGAGAGCGGTCTAACAATCATAATATTCACCGGACTCTTCCTTTATGGACATCATTTTTACACCATCGAACAGTATTCTAAATATACTTTCACCTGTGTTAAATATACATATACGTATGGAATTTTATTCAGCATGTGCTGAAGTTGCACTAAGCCTACAAAGCAAATTATTGCCCCTTTTCCGGTAAAAGAAATTGTACCAAGCTATAAGAGTGGCCCGGATGTTATTTATAAATTTCAAAACTATGAAGCTACAACGATGATATATCTTTGGTGTATGACCACAGAACTTACATCGTATAAATCAATTACACTTACAGCAAAAGAAAGTTTTCGTCTTTTAGTTGATAACACACAAAGCTGGACATTTCATGCTTTAGAACTTTATCCAGTAGATCCATCAACAAATGGTACACATACGTGTATGTAGAACGAAAGACAATTTCATCTTATTTTAACCCAAATACAAACTTCAAATTAATTCATTATTGTTTATTATACCAAGACATATACTTTTCTGCTAGTTTCTCTAATTGTATTCATTCTTTTTATTATTTATTTTCACTAATAAATTTGCATAATCTAAATCTGATTAGTTAACTAAAACTGTCGGCTATAGGATGGTTCTAGAATAAGTCTTTTGATAGATATGAACTAATGAGCGACAGCAATTTTCAATTAAGAAAGCATGCACTAGCTGGTCAAGAATCTGTCAAGAAGGCCAAAAGTTATTTGAGTTGAATCGCTTATCACACCAAATTCATTCCTGGTACCTACGTCTTCTGCTATGGCTTACCAAGCTACTCAGATTACTACCACTTCTATCGTCTAATCTGGCCCATACTTATCACAATCCTTCAAGTTATTCTACCAGTTACTTTTCTAGTCTTTACATCTCTTTCCATCTACTATAAACGGAATCAAAGTCATAATAACACTGTTAACACAATCATGTCTCAACGTCAACAATATATTGACAAACAAATGTTACTGCTGATGTTCTCGAGCACTTGTTTGTTCTGCTTGAGCAGTTTACCGCCGGGTATTTGGAATATCATTGGTCCGCAGATCTCAACTCAGTTTCAATGCGGTCCAAATAAAATTCAAAATTCATTGAGTATCTCATCCTTCATTGCAACAGCTAATTTTACAATCAACTTTTATGTTCACTGTCTGACAAGTCGACTGTTTTGCACGGAATTCGTCATAATGTATAATTTGTTTACAAAACACGAGAAAGAACACATTTGAACGTACAAAACAAATGAGTTCTCACTCTTGCTATACCTTTTAACGAAAAAAATCTCAGAAAAAAAACGTTCAAGTCGACAAAATACCAGATTTACACAGTTTTCATTTTTTTTCGTCTATCCTCTAATTTGCATAGTTTTCTGGATTGAAGTTTTGAAATTAAAGTTTGGGTACGGTTCGGTAGAGTATTTTGCGGTGCATCTTTTAAAAAGAACATTAACCTTAATATCCTAAAAGAACAATTATGACGCACCCGGTATATTCTGGTGGTATCGTATCCATACAGGTATACGACCGTCGTATTTTGACGTATTTCAGCGTAAACGATCGTATACTGCCTGGGATGAAAGACCTGGAAATGTCCATTCATACATGTCAAAACCTTGACTATAGATGTCCGGTCTGTAAAGAGAAAAACAAAGAGAAACGTGTTAACCAACACCAGTAGTCGTCGAACAAATCGTCTCAGTTTATCTGTAAGCACAAACATTATTTACATGATATCAGGGTACTTATCTCTCTGAGGATTGTTTACGGAAAACTAATGAAAAGACGGGTTTCTCATATTTGGCAATCAATGACAAGATGTTTGACAAACGGCAAAATAAACCGACATTTCAGAATAGAACCATCCATACTACTAACTCAACTGTAAGACTAATTCTTTCTTCCGGCGGAAAAATAGAACGCGTCTTTTTTTTCTTTTTTTTCTCAAGAATACTTCATATAAGGAACTGTACAAAAGAACGCTGGGTTTCTTATGGGTGCTGTGCATTGGGTGACATCGTGGTCGTGCCAGTCTTAGATCTTCTCTTTGATAGATTCAGGCAAAATTTGTACATATAGGCGCGAGCGAGACATGAATAGTTTTTTTCCCATTGACAATATAATTTCCTCACGTTAAATATCATCTGCATGGAATTCTTATAGATGCACAAGAGAACGACAAATTCTTCCAGCCTCTCACTGAAAAATAGCGGGCACAATTTTTTGGACCCAGTCCCCCAATTTTTTTTCTTGGATGTGGAAGTGGACGAAAAACTGTTTTTGGACCTAGACCCTAGGTTTAGGTTGAACCGGCCGTACTCTACCTCTCATATTGCTTCAAACACTTCATTAAACAATTGCACCGCACAGCAGAAAACGTAGAAACTGAAAGCAAAAAGCTATTTTGTTTTATAAGATTGTGAAATCAATCTTATGCACAGCACGCACTTGTTGAAGTTTGCCTTTTTATAAATAATTTTCTCCGTAATAAATCTCCAAATCTCGAAACAGAAGTCATTTGTTCAATCTTTTTCCAGTCCAGTCATTATCTACTAAGAAAAGCGTCCACATAAATTCGAGAAAACTAGAAACTGTGTAAACCCTTCCCAACTCCTGAATGAGTTGATAATACAGAAAAGTATTTCTTCAAAAACCTTATTCGTATGAAAAATCTAGAATTTTTCTGAAGTTCAGACTAGATACTTATTTAGTAGACATTCAGTCTTATTCTGATACGTTCACGATTGAAATTAAGTTTAATGTTAATATTTTTTAAGTTAAACCGAATTTGGTCCGGATATTCTAATATTTTAACTGGAGTTAAGGGAGCACCCCCGCCCCCTTTTCACACGTGAAACTTTTTCCCGAATTTCTCAAGAATCGCTCGACCAAAGTTCTGAAACTAATAGAATTTTTGGTCTAATAAAAGTTTAAACCAAAAGCCACCATACAAGGACAGATGACAGTTACTACGATGCCACTCAATGCACAGCACCCATAAGAAACCCCGCGTTCTTTTGTTAGACGTACATGCTATTAGACTTTTCTTAGACTACTAAACTCACAGCCTATTAGACTTTTGTTAGACTATTAGACTTTCAGACAATTAGACTTTCAGACAATTAGACTTACAGACCGTTAGACTTTCGGACTATTAGAGTTTTGTTACAGTTAAAGACTCCTGTTAGACTATTAGACTTACAGGATATTAGACTTTTGTTACAGTTTTAGACTTTTGTTAGACTAGCAGACTCCCAAACTACTACACTTTTGTTAGACTATTAGACTTTCAAACAATTAGACTTTCAGACTATAAGAGTTTTGATGTTTTGA